TGCTTTTGGCTGGATCATTTTGTTAATACATTTAAGGTTAGCATGAACCTTTTTATCAATGTCTCTCAGTGGTTATGATTAGGTTAAGCCTAAGCAGAGTTTAAGTCGGTGTTGTTTTTCCTTTATAGGTGATGGAAACACGTCTGTCTAAATGTGCGTTTGTGTAAGCTCCAATTCGTAGTTGCTGTCTGCAGCTCATTGCCCCGTGGTAATATCAGACCCTGCAGACACCTGGGACCAGCGGTTTGAGGCCCCAGGGAAGGCAACAGCCTGGCAACTGGCCCTGATTACTTTCTCCACTCTCCGGAACTCAACTCAGTGTGTGCCATTAACCAGCTCCACGGCCTGTGAGTTCAACTCGACCATGCCATTAAATCTGCACACAATGGGTGGTTTACAGAACATACACACACTCATTTAAAGAGCAGAGAACTTCACGATTTATCTAGCAGCCTTTGATATTCTTAGCTGCAAGCACAGCAAGCCAGAGTGGTTTATTATTTTAAAAGTGACAGCATATAGATTGTAGAGCAATTCCATGAAGCAAGGCTGACATCTAGTGCCCGTTTCATGCAATAAATGATTAAAAGGGTAATTTATTATAGAAAATAGAATAGAAAAACTTTACTGCATCAGCTATACTTTGGTGCATTTTTCACATCACTATTAATATCTGTACAACAGTCACTTTAACTTCTACAACATTTATCATGTCATTTGTATACATCATAGTGGCATTTTTTTCTTTCCAATCCTTTCAATAAATTAAAAATGCTTTTGAAAATACATCAATTTCTCTCATAAAACTTTACATAGCATTAGCTTATGTCATGTGAGTCAAAATTAATTATACCCTAAATACTCATTCCATTTAAAACTAATAGTCATTGTGGGACAATAAAGGGATTTCATTGCTTGAGTCTTTAGATACAAAAATGTTAAAATTGTTGGCAGAATGACAGGGGTCTAACTGGATGCCATCTGAACAAACATGTCAGTGTTTAAAGTAATAGTGAGTTTTCACCACTAACACAGTGGTGGTATATCTCCCTCCCTGCTCACCGCTCCTAAAACCCTTAAAGGAGTTCTTCTCCTCTCAGAGGTGTACGGCCCATGATCTACATTTAAATACCCAAATGGCCCTGCTAGGGGCCATAGATGCAGCATCTGATGACATCACAGCACTTTCCTTGACGCCAGAGGTGGGCAGCAACTAGTTATACTTAAACAGTTTTGAAAATTAGCTCTTTAAGTAGTAATTGGTCCGTTCTGTACCTCTTACTTTTACTTGAGTAAAGTTCATGTAAAGTATTCCTACTCCAATAAAAATTTCTGGCAGAGGGATTAAGCTATTCAAGGATCAGCGGAATATGCAGCAAAAAGTCAATATTAGTGGAAGTTCTTTACCCTGCTCTAGTCATAATTTTGGTGTTAAAAAAAACATAAATTAGAAAAAGTATTTCTTCTATGGGAACTTATTTTGTAATTATGTCATTTGTTTGTATTTGTTTGTATTTTTGTCTTTAAAATACAAGATACTGAACAAGGAGTCAGTCTGACTGCATCATTTAGTACTCTGTAATTACATAGCTTTCTTACCATATAGTTTTTGACTCTTATTGAGTAATTTCTTGGATGACTACCTTTTATTTTGCTTAAGTAAACAAAATGTTGAAATACTGCTACTCTAACTCGAGTACAATTTTTGGATGCTCTATCCACCTCTACTCCTACTATTGCCACAGTGCGATAAATTATATTATATGTTATGAAAATAAAACCATCTGTCAGAAAGGAACATCTGGATGTGCATGACTGATTTACAGCACTATGTACTGTATGTTGTAAGTTAATCTCTAATATGTACTGCAATATTGTTTACAGTTGTATACAGCCTTACCGAAGGTAGTTACAGTTTATCTTGAACATTTACACTCATTGTTTGAAAATGTGCCTTATATTCTGATAACTCTACACACAATCAAACACATGCAATCAATCCTTCTGCAAAATCCAACTTTACTTTCAACACAATCAGATTGCTATTTTGTTTGCAAATGAGAAACACAAACCTTCAAATTAATAAAATTTTTGAAGAACCATTTACAGTTTTCTCAGTTTTTTTACACACAAAAACTGGTACTTGAGGCACAATGACTAGAATATGTAGGTGTTATAAACTATCCTATTGAACGAATTCAGCTGAACACAACGATAACCCCTGCTATTCTCTTTAGATACAGTACTAAAACATAATTTTCTCAAAAAGCTTCAGGCATTTTCCATGCATTAAGTGCAATTACAATGAGCAAGATGTCATGTGTTCAAGGAGCAACTTTTTTTTGCAACTTTTCACATGGCTCATAATATTAGTAAACAACTTCCACAGATTTCTGCAGTTTGAACAGAAAAGGGCCGCATGTCAGACCTTCTGTTTTCATGCAATGGAAGCAAATATAGAAAGGCTAAAAAAAGCATAGTTTAATTGTTTTTTTTTATTATTATTACTGTTACACCATCTACAGTAAATGTCATTTTTTTATGTGTTTCACCATGTTTAACCTTGTGTAAGTATGATTACATTATGATTACATATCAAAGACTTTACAGTTTACAAGATATTCTGTGTAGTTTTCTCCAAGTTAAGGATAACAACATAATGTAAATGTTTTTACAACACATTTATGTTCAATCAGCAGCAAGCATAGCAGTGAAGAAAAAAATTTTTTTATTAAATTTATCATTGCCTTTTACACTGAGCTCATCAGTGTTTTATTTGTTTCTATAAATGTTTATTCATTTGATGGCTTATGTGAGACATTTGCAAGCAAAGTTTTATTTAGAATTATTTGATTTTGCAGGACAATTGATGGGTTTTGAAGACTGTGGGTTTTTTATTGTGTGTAGAGTTTTAAGAACATGAGGAATATTTTCTGAGAATGGGGTTGAAATTAGAGAAAAACTCAATGTAAAACACTATGATGAATAAAAAATCACAACTTATGACCTTTGTTTCTCTTCTGTGTTACACTTCCTGATATATACATAAGTATATATTATATTTCCCTGCAAAAAATATACATCCAACCATCACTAACACAGTGTTACTCATAAAATAGAAGTTTTGTGGCAGCCTAGAGGTTAGGGCATAGAGCTTGGAATCCAGAGGTTCTTAGTTTGAGCCCCACTCCCAGGATTGCCACTCTGGGTCCCTGAGCAAGACCCTTAAATTGCATAATGACAGCCTACTGCTTCCCAAGGGGACACACTAAAACTATGCTGTATCTTTTCATGCATTCCAATGTTTGCCTCCATTGCACAAAAACAGAAAGTTTGACCCTTGGCCCCTTTTCTGTTCAAGCTCTGATGCTAACTGTAAAAACATTGTAAAACACAATCATGAGGACAGATTTTATTGAAAGTTTCATATGTAAGGAAACCTATTTGAATGCATCGAGTCACCGACTTGCAGGATTTGCTCCATCAGGGGAAAATCATGCAAGTTTATTGTCTTCATGGAATACGAAATAAATATTATTTAATATGATAAATCTAAACCATTTAGCAAAAGATAAATGTTAAAAGGGGCAATATCTTTATATTTAAAGCTTTTATACTTCCCGTTCTTCTGAGAAATATTTGTATTCTTATCCTAAAATACTTTGTATAATGACTCATTTTATTCTTAACTCTGCCTTTGGGTTGTTGTTTTTTTGTCTTTTCGTCTCTCGACCACTAGGTGGTACAATTTATCCATTTAAGACATTATTTAACAGGACAGACACTTTTATTTCACAAGTTGAGATAACTTTTACAAAATGTTGCTTAGAAATATTAGGTGGATTCATTCGATTTAATTTGGTCAATTCACAACATAAAATCATTTTAAAATTAAATGCAGTAAATCAAGCAAATTGGGTTTTATCTGCCTACCCCTTTAAAAGATTTAGCAGTCTAATAAAGAAAGATTATCTGTCTGTGGACAAAGATATACATTTACATGTAGATTTACATGTAAATACATACACTGATTGTTTAGATACTTAATAGGTATAATAACTAACACCAATGGCGTAACGACACAACAATAGGCAAGTGAGCAACATTATCTGAGTGGTCCCCATATGAAGTACAACACCCACTCTTGATTACCCATAATTCCAAGTCATGTTATTAAAAAAAAATACTCAAATATATCCTTCTTTGAAGATATTTATTGCGGTTTGAAACATATTATATGAGTGTATTTTTCACCAACTGTCTAATAAACCATAGTAAATAAAAGTACCACTGTCTGCTTTGCTATTGGTGTCGTATTTAAATGGCTCACCATCCTGTTGAAGTCTTGCATGTGTTGGCGTATAAATAGGGACCGATATACATATGTAATTTCAGGTGGAATTAAGATACATTTTTCGCACCATTACATTGCATAGGGAGCCTGGGTGTCAGTAACAGGGCCCCGAAGATGTCGGGGGCCCCTAAGCAACTGCAGTCTCTGCTTACCAATAGTTACGCCATTGACTAACACTGTTCAATAGTTTAACATGTTCAGGCTCCACCGAAGCACAAAAAAGCATATGACTTGAAGTCATCAATTCATTCCATATTTTCACACCAAAAACTGAAAAACATCTAGATTTTATGTTTCTACCTTTAGATTTTTAGATTTCATTTATCATAATGATTTAGCAAATGTTCCAGTTAAAACTCTGATTTTTTATTTATTTATTAATTTTTTTTTATTCATGCATGTAGCCAACTTAACTTGCAGAAGCAGAGTTCATTTCTGTTTCCCTGTTTATCAACAGGAAAAAACGTAAAAATCCAGGAAAATAAACCTGGAAAAATAAACTTCCCAGACTAAACATTCCAGTGTAACTGATACATAGGAACAAGGGTTTTTTTCTTCCTTTCTTATATGCAAATATCTACTTCCTGACTCAGCGTGCCTTAACTTCTAAGTGAAGGTGGGGAGGGAGGTGGGCGGAGCCATACACAGTGTCAAACTTGACTATACTCCAACACACACAGCAGGATCCAGGTAAAATTCCTAAATGGAGCACGAAGACACAAAACAAACAGGACAGGTAAGGAACTGTTTTCCTATTCTCTATGATCATTCAGCTGTAGCCTCTGTCTAGTATATGCTGAAAACCTCCTTATGTTGCTTTGTCGTCACCTGTGTTTTGCAAAGTCACACACCCAATGTGACCCTTTGAAAGGAGAGCTTTGTTACACAAAATCTAAAAAGCATATTTAGTGCTAAATATTGACTTTTCCTTCTAACATGTTAGATTTTCATGTTGATGTTCCCATTTTGTCAAAGGGGCATTGTAACTGAATAGCCCGCTGCTTGGTGAATGAGCAAAACTATCCTGTTTATCAAATCAGAAGGCAAATATTAACACGTGTAACAGAAAATGAACTTCTGTTTACATTCAGGACCAGGTCGCCTTTGTACACTTATCCATTTTTCAAAGTTGCTAAAATCTCTAAACATATATTTTTTTATTAAATTAAACAATCCAGATGTTATAGAAAATAGCAAAATATAACTGTAAGAACTCCAAGCTTTATTTTGCTAAATCTATTACTGACAATTTACTTAACAGGATTGGTTTAGGATTTGACAAAACATTCTGACTTTATACCTTGAAATGTGGGTTCAAGCAGCTGTTATCTAACAATAGCCCATCAAGAGGCATGTTAAAAAAAAATATGCTTTTAATTACTATAAAAACTATTAAGTGAAGGCTAGCAGGCATTTAAACCTATTTTAGTTAAAATATTTTTCATTCTTATTAAGTATAAAAACTAGAACTGCACAATATAAGGATAATATGGTGATTCTAGTGCTGGAACTATAGGCTATTGGTTGCAAATATTTAACATTTCCTGTATATATTTCTTCTTTTCCATTATCAAATCAGCCTCCCTTTTCTCAGGCAGCTTTTAAATTGCAGCCAGTAGATAATACTAATCAAGAATATGCATCAAGGGCAGGTACGATCCATTCAGGTGGTTGAATATATCATAATGTAAAATCTCAGTGCAATACAATGGAGATTATGTATAATGTGTAGTGTTTTAGAAATTGAAAGCTAAAAGACCAATGCTGTCTGAAGCGAACACATATTATCTTTATTGTCAGTTTATACTTGAAATAAATCTGATTAGTTATGTTTCACAATGGCTGCAATAAATGTTGAGACTTAATGTCAACCTTCCTCTTAACTAAAGATACTGGATCAAGATTTTATCCTAATGCCTGTTTTAAGAAACCCATCTTCTGGCATTATGAACCCTAATTTGCATAACAGAAATAAAACACATTATATATTTAAATTTCATGTTTCAATCTAATGGATTTATTAATTATAAATAGGTTTATTGTTGTGATTTTACCTAAAATGAATGGTTAGCAGTTTATCATTTGAGAAGTATTGTGTGATCTTAGAATTTCTATTTTTTTATTTTGCTTTAGGGTTCTTTTGGAGTGGGAGAGGGTTATTATTACAAGGTATCCTGGAGTTTTATTGAACAATTAAATCTAAATCATTCCAGAGTATCTAACAGTATTTACTTCATTGTGTTAATTTTAAGGCTCAGAGTTGATTATTAACCAACAGATGGAGTTCTTAATTAATCTATCTTTTCAGTCAGTTAAAGAATATCACACTGAAGGAGCTGTAATTCATCTTGTATCCTGCTAAAACGGGCCCCATGGAGTTCAGGATGGACCAGCTGCTCCCCGGTGAATTTTTCGACTCAGATCTCCAGGAACAAGAAAATGAGGATCTCCAGCTTAGAGTGGACTTCTTCAGGAAACTGGGGTACTCCACAGCAGAGGTGAAAGCTGCTTTGAGAAAGCTGGGCCTAAGTACAGACACCAATGCAGTGCTTGGGGAGCTCGTAAGAAACAGAACCACCAAGACATCACCCTGTGCTTCAGACAATGATGAGACGCATCCGAAAGACCCCCTGCTGCCTCCAAGCTGGGACACTGGGACCTACAAAATCCCACCACAACTCAGTGACAAAAAGACTGAAGATTCAGAGCTGAGGCCGATTGTTATTGATGGCAGCAATGTTGCCCTGAGGTAATATAAATGATATTATCTTAGAGTAAATCTTCACAAGTGGTTTTATTAGGTGCATCTTGCCAGTCTGCGGTTGGACCTACGTTTGCACTCAGAACTTAATAAATTTTTGGTGGCTCAGAATCAACAAGCTGTCAGAAACATTCCTTAGAAATTTTGGTTCAAACTGACACCAAAGCATCACGTAATTGCTGAAAATTTGTCAACCTGTTCTAACAAATTAAAAATGCTCTTAATTAGGCAGAGTTATTTCATTACAGTAGATTCCTTTTTTTACATTCAAGATACTAGTTTTATATTGTCGGAGCTTTGTGACAGTGTGAGTTACCTGCTCAAATGTTGGGTACACAATGGTCAAAAGGAGATAAACGTGGTCAGTAATACTTGGTTAGGCTGTGGCATTTATACAATGTTCAGTTTATGCTAAAGTGCCTAAAGGTTGGGGCAAAATGAAATGTAAACATTCAGCTAGGTGTTTTCGTTCACATAGCTGTCCCTTTTTTTTCCTAAAAAAAATCCAAAACAATTCTTTAGTCAACAGAAAGATTTCTGAATGAAAATCCTACAAGATCCAAAGTTTCTGGAATACTCAGATAGATGTCTCTCGCATTAGTCAATTTAATCCCCTATTTATTTCTTTATGACATTATGTTTGAACTTTAAAATACCTATATAAAGTGGTCGGTGAGTTTAGACAATTTACTAAAATCCTAATCCATCGTAAGCATGATACTTTAATGTCATTTGTAGTGCCTTGTGTAATAACTGTGAGACCATCCTTGCAAGAAATCTATTTAGATATTTTGCAAGTGGAGTAAAAAAAAAAAACACCCAGCTCTGAGCTAATTACATAGATTTGCAGAGTTTTAAGTTACTTGACTCTAAATGTGAGTTAAACTGCCTGAGCTTGTTTTGCCAACAAGCCACAGCTATAACATGCAAATTCAGGAGCCTCACCCTTCTACAGATTTGAAGCACAAATGTAGCACACAATTTCCTTCAGTGGCGTCATTTAAAGGCATGTGGTGCTGGAACAGATACACTAAACCTTAACTACTTCCTTTAAGATTTTTTCCACTGAAATTCCTTTAACTGATGCCCCCTTCCCACACAAACCCTCTCTGTTTTTTTTTCTTTTACAGTCATGGAAACAAGGAAGTGTTCTCATGTCGGGGCATAGAGTTGGCAGTGGATTTCTTCCTGGACAGAGGACATGATAATATTACTGTGTTTGTTCCCTCTTGGCGCAAAGAGCTGCCCCGAGCTGATGCCCCTATAACAGGTTAGAAGCTGGTTTCTGTAAGAGGAACCAGAAGAAGTTAAACATTTTCTAACAAATAAAAGTTTTTAAATGAGCCAAAAGTCTAGTTTCTGCAGCCCATGTTAGTCGGTGTGGCTGGATTAAACAAAAAAAGATACTACGTATTTCTACTGCACATCCTATAACCTAAATGTAAGATTGGTGTATGGATAACATTCATCTTTCTACTGAAATAAAAATAAAAACATATTTAAAAGATTTATATTTAAAAAAAAAAAATAAAAGTGCATTTCTTTTCTTTTAATAAAACAATAAATTTGAACTTTACTGTAGCCGTGGCAGTAACAACTCAACATGTTCAAACAAGAGTTTTTTTTTTGCTTGCTGGGATCATGTGAGATATGCTGTAAGACAAAGAAAAGGTCAGGGCATTGTCTTCCCTCTTTGGTTTTGATTTCAAGTTTTATTCAAGACAAGAAGAGAACAGCGAGTAGGTGCTTCATAAAGTAAAAAAGAAATGAGAAGCAAACGGTAGCTGTCATTAAAAACGGTTCTTTCTATCTAACTGTTTAACTATGGCTTTCACCACAGTGTGTTTCTTTACTGTGGCTGTGGACATTGCATAATTCTTTATCAGTGAGTCAGTGATTCATGTTTACATCATCCTTGAGTTATTTTGGGGAAAAAAATAGACACAGCTTAGTATAGATAAAACAGAAAATAGGATTTGATGATAAGAACAGGTTTGGTTACTTGTAAGGAATGATTTTAAAATACATTGTTTTACACATTCATATACATCTTTAAATCTCTTAATATTGCCTCATTAAACTCTTTGGGTCTCATTATATAACAGATTGATTTTATATCACTGAGTTCCATGAAGCTGAACCAGCCTTTTAATGTTATTGCTTCTTCTTAAGGCTCTCGTGTTTTCACTATCTGTTAATCCTTGGGTGGAGTAACCAAAGGTTTATTTCAGAGTGTGCATAAGGAAGTAAAAAAAGGGCCACAACCACCCCTGGGAAAGTCCCATCAGGAACCTTTGTATGTTTTTTTTTTTTTTTTCCGTTTTGTTTTTTTCCCACACCTACTGTAGTTTGTTTGCATAGTACCAACAACCATCCACTGCAATAAGTCAAATGAAAACAATCACTCAGGACAACAAAAGCACCTGTATGAAAAATATGCTCCTGACTAAACATCAATGGTTTAGTTTCTTTGTTTGTTTCTTATGAACATGGGTCATTTCAGATTCTGTATCTCTATTACTTTTTAATTTGCCTACCTTACGTGTCAAGAAGTAAGATATATTATAAAAGTCATAGCAGCTCTATTTTGTTCGGTTTATTTAATAGTGACTATAAAATATCATATTTCATTTGATTTCTATAAATCACGGCACCTTTGAGAAGTGCTTACTACATTTTCTTAAGGCTATATCTACCGTATATCTTTTGTTGTATCCTATTTTAGGTATAGAACATAATGTGGGCTATTATATTATATTAACTAGTAATATGTGTTGCAGCATTTAATTTACTTAACTCCTACTTTTATGAAAATTTTGAAGACAGTTTACCCTAAATCACTAATCTTTTAAGGTTAATTTGTCATAACTAAAGTACGCTTTTAAATGCATTACAGCATACAGTTTTATTCTATACATGCAGTGTGGGTTTTTAAAGCATTCTTTACAGCAAACTTCAATAAATCAAAAACAGCATTTAGTCGAAAAGTTAGAATATAATACAATCAAAGCATGGTCAAAATGATGCTATTTGCTCTACATTTTCTGCTTCTCAAGAAACTGGTCAACTGTCCATCTAGGAGTAGGACTTAATCTTCTTAATGCTTGCAAAAATCGTATATAGTTTGTTTCCAACTTACAAAAAGACTTTCAGCCCAAATAATTGCTGCATATTTGAGTCTGTATCTATAAATTAGAACATTTATTTATCTACATTTGGCTGACTTGTTTCATTTGCTCATTTCAGATCAACACATTCTGCTAGAGCTTGAAAAACAGAAAATACTGGCCTTCACTCCGTCACGCCGCGTTGGTGGCAAGCGAGTGGTTTGTTACGATGACCGCTTCATTGTCAAATTGGCGTATGAGTCAGATGGAGTGATTGTGTCCAACGACACCTACCGTGATCTTCAAGGAGAAAAACCTGAGTGGAAGAAATGCATCGAGGAGAGGCTCCTCATGTACTCATTTGTGAATGATAAGTAAGGAGAACATGCTGCATCTTGTTTCCAGTAATACTGTCAAATGAGCTGCTGCTTTTGTTAGAGACTTACCACCTGAGTTTGTAGAGTTGGTGAAGAACCTTCAACTTTCTGATTTTTTTTTTTTGTTCTTTTTTTAGGTTCATGCCTCCAGATGATCCTTTGGGTCGACATGGACCTAACCTGGACAACTTTCTTAGAAAAAAGCCCCTGCCTGTGGAGCAAAAGAAAGTACCCTGTCCTTATGGTAAGGGATGTTTAGTACACAGAGATTAGAAATTTAAGACATAAGGTTATTCTGTCGTGAATTGGTTGATTCACACATTTATTTATAATTAGATCACAGCTGAGTAATGAGGTATTGGCTTCCATTCTGCAATAACAAACAATACGTAAATTTAGAGAGTGCACTGATGCAGAAAAAACTCATTCAGATTTGTTTTTTGGGCTGTTTGAGTCGATGAAATCACAAAAAGGTGCAGCTGAGCTGATTAGCTGGCATTAGAACACAACATTATGGTAGACGAAACAATTTCTGTCAGATTTAATGCAGATTCAGAATAACAGCCTCTTGCATTAAATTTGTAGTGGCTTACTCTATGTGTTTGGCTACCTAAGCCATGTTGGACATTGTCGTGGAAGCCAGAGCTTATGGTGACAGTTGTCCTGCGTGTACAGCATGTATATAAGGCGTGGCTTTCAGCTCCTTCTGGAGGGGAGGGGGATTGAGTGCTTGGAAATAAAAGGTAAAAGTTTTCAAAACCTTCCCTTCCTCTGCTGGTTTAAGAAAAATAACAGACTACAGCTTTGAATAAGTTTCTAGTAACTGGTACTGTTTGTACTGTTTGCACTCAGTGCTTATACCTGTGCTAACCTGTACAACTTCTGTACTTTTGATGGCTGAGTAATGAAATGTCTTTGTTTCCTTTGATGTTGCCGGGAATTTTTACTGTAATATCTTACAGTTCTGCAGGGAATTCAGTCATGTCCTGATAATTGCTTTATTTAAAAGTACAGATTGGTCTATGCAGTTTACCCATTTATAGCTTAAAGGTATTGTGGAGGATCTTTTTAATACAACCGCCTCTGCAATAAAAAAAAATATGCATGTGTAAGAGCATGCACGAGCATACACGACCTGTTTAAAATGTGTTTTTCTCATAGCTCATACAAGCTTACTGTGTGCACATACAGTGGTGACTATATAGTGGATTTTATAGCAAAATCAGTTAACCGACTGTTTGGACAGATGATCACTACTTTTTGCTCCGTTGGTCACGTCACTCCTCTTCCATGCCATGCCTGCGCCATCCTTGGTATTAGTTGTCGCTGTAGGGTAGCAACAGCCTATGGCGACAGATGGCTTTTGTGACAGCAAATCCCATAGTGCTTTGTGAGGAGAACTCTCTGTGCAAAGCATTCTAGGATATATCTGCCTCTTCTAAGGGCTTTTTTTTTTTTCAATCTCATATACTTTGTAGACACTTTTTCTCTTACAACCCTTGGCCATTTTCAAAAAACCGTGGTGAGAAAGGTGAGCTTCAATGACTGTCTGAAACCATTGCTCACCACAAATAAAAGTGTACAAGAGCACAAGAAGATAGCTAACGGAAGGAGCACATAGGGCAGCCTTAAGTAAACATATCACCAGAATGATTGACAATTTGGAGGACCACTTATTTAGATGATCCATCCAGAAATAAAAGATCGTCCTCTATACTTTTAATTAGTAGGACCCAGTACATTCAAATACAAGTACATTTTTAAGGAGTATTTTAGAAACCATAAATAAAACACAAATTAACATATTTATTAAGCTTATTTATATCTACTGTAAGTAAGATTGATTTCACAAGTTTCTTTAACTTTAACTACAACTTTATCTGGTTCTGCAGATAGAACTTTCTTGCACAGAAATGTGTTGTCAATTAGATAATTAGGTTATATATTTATATCTTTCAGATAAAAAGTGCACTTATGGCATCAAGTGTAAGTACTACCATCCTAAGCGGGCAAATCACTCCTACCTGTCCCTGGCTGATGAACTTAGAGAGAAAGCTCAGATTTCTTCTGGAAAAGAGGAGAGAAAGGCAAGATCATCAGTCAACTATCTTCAAACTGACCCTGAGCCTTCTCATCTTAGACAAACCTATCAAAAGATTCGGGATCAAAAGAGTTCCTCTGTTTCTGATCACATTCTTGAAAACAAACCACTGCATTGGGAAGACTTAAGAAAAAGCCCCAACCAAATGCTGTCTTCAGTAAATGGGGGGAAGTGTCAGAAAGAATATCTTGGGCTGCACTTCATGCCAAATCATTATCATCCAAACATATCTCAGGAATATTTAGATTCTGGGTTTGGCTCCTTTGAGAGCCATTACTCTGACATGCATCCATCCCTCAGCTGTACCCACACACTTGGACCTCAGCATCAGAGCCCCTTTGTGGCATCCCAGCATGCCTCACTTCATGTGGAAAAGAAAAGCTATCACTGTGGAGGATGTTGTTCCCATCCTCAACACCAGAGCAACATTGAATGCAGTCAGCCTCTCTACAACACTTACCATCCAAATATGTTCCAACACTGTGTACATCAGCAAAGGAGTCTACCCGCTCATTTCCATAACAGTGGAGCACCCTCCCTCCATCATAATTACTGGTCAGATCCCTTTCTGTGTGCCCCCCAAGCCAGAGCATCATGCCCCATCCCGTCTTTGTCCTATCCTTCATGTTGCCACAACGCCTGCTGCTCCTACAAGAATCCTCAATACCAAACCTGGGGCCAACAACAACCACCACCTTCTGCTGCATTCAGTCAACAGAGATCAGAGATGCGCAAGAAGCTGCATGCCATCTTCAACCCTCTCCAAGTGGATCAGGTCATGGAGATGTTTCCACACCTGATGGATGCAGAAAAGCTGGCTGCAGAGATCCTGAACATGAAAGCGCAGGGGATGATCTGATGGGTTCTCTTCAACCTGAAATCTCAAGAATAATTGGGATAATCTCATTAAGAACCTCAAATCTTAATGCTGTATAGAACCACATTAATGTTGTTTTATAACAGCAGTTCAGATCATGAGTGTCAATTCTTGCTATTAATGCATATTTCTAACCGGGCTCATTTAAGTGTGTGAAGACAGAACAGGTTAACTGATTACTGTCATTGTTTTTGTGTTTTTTTCGAGAAACAGTATTTCTCAAAAAAAAAGCAAATAATACAAGGCCCAACTACACCATTGTTGAGTGCTAAAATTAGGATTATATATACAGTAAGGTTCAATGTAAGTTATTGCATTCACATCTGATGAATGCTATTGTTAAATTGCACTGTACTGTAATGTTTATGTAAATAAAAATAAAAAAAACAGCTTAGGAGGACCAGTCATGATGTAAGGACTACAACACTAGAGCTACCATCAAATTCAGCGGATTAATAATGGACTATTTCACTGCATTTAAACATATTTACTATATATCAAATTATGAGTTTCCTAGATCAATATTATTCAATTGAGCAGATCTTCAGTGCTTAAAACCTTTTACTTTGCTTTACTCTGTTTGTGTAAATATTAAGACTTACTCTTATTCTCTCTCTCTCTTTCTTTATATATATATATATATATATATATATATATATATATATATATATATATATAGTTGTCTTCGGTATTGTATCTCCAAACTTCTGTTTGAGAGGTCATTATTTTTGTTAAATATGATGTTCTTATTTAAGGTTTAACTCTGTAAATTGTACTTATATTACAAACACAGGATGGACCAATCTGTATTTACAGGTATAAATCAGTCACAGTTTTTGTCAGGCAACTCATTGGCAAGCTATTACGACAATTTGCAGTGCTCTCTACTATGGCAGTGAAATATGTGCCCAAATTGTTTAGAAACATTAGCTAGTGCATAGTTATGTGTACAACATTTCCGTTCAGTGTAACCCTGCCATTCATATTTGGGATGAAATGTGCCTCTAGATATACTGTACTGCATTACAGGACTTTTGAGAGTTGATGCATATTGTGTCCAATGCTATTTTAGGTTATCAAGCTGCACAACATGTTTTTATTCTTCTGGTTTCATTTTTGTTCTCTGGATCAGTCTGCTCATTCAGTATTATCTTTGATCTAACCACAGTTCTAATCTGACAAGGAAACTGAACTGAGATAACTAATAAAAGCACTACATCCAAATTAGAGGAATGTACAAAGTGTGACCTCTCCCTTTTACTGTAAATGTTTGTTTCCATGAAACATGCTGGTAAAAGTAAATTATATAAGAGTTTAAGTTACTTTTTAATGAAAATGGAAATAGAAATTGGAAATGAGTTCTCTTTAGCACAAATCTGAGTTATGATTGTTACTGTTGTGGAGAAAACCTGATAGAGGACAGCCCTCTACAGATCTGACTTTTCAGCTTTCTCCAAGCTCCTTGTCCCTTTGAGGACTTACTTTAAGCTACAACAGTCTTGTACCCCTTGCAGTATAACTATTATTTTTCAAAGTATGAATTCTTTAATCACCTTAAAGTATTATGCTCTAAGTTTGTCTGGAATATGTGAAACTATAGCTTGTCATTTTATAATATAAATGTTGAAATTTGTATGGTTTTCAAATAAACCAAGATTGGTTTTCTTTTAATACAATTTAAAGTATTAAACTCTGAAAGTGTGTCTTGTCCTTTTTTTCTGCCAAATTCCTTGAATATTGTGAATGTGAAACCATTTCAGTCTGAAGTCAGTGCTATTGCTATTTTATCCACAAGGTGGTTCTCATTTTTATCATACTCTTGATCTTGTTTAAAGAAAAAGGCAAAAAAAACAAAAGCATACTTTTATAAATTGCCTGGCTAGAATGATGTATTGAACCATTTGCTGTTCAAAATGTGCACCTGATTGACTGATCAGACCAAACTGATGCCTATTTTTAATCGATTTTGTTCGTAAACTGCACTGCGACAGACTGCATGTCCAGGCAGGGTGTACCCTGCCTCTCGCCCATACACTGCCACAGATAGGCAACGGCCCTACCACAACCCTGACAGAATAAGCAGGAGAAGACGGATGGATTGCACTATCACACAGTATATTTACACACTTAGTTTAACATAGATGGTCAATTGCTAAATATTTATTTCTTGAAAGTTAACGCACATGATGGTACACTTGTATTATCATCATTGAGTCCATTCTCTCCGCCTTCATCACTACCTGATTTGCTGATGCCACCATCAGGAACAAGCGCAGGGTGCAGCATATGATTTGCCCTGTAGACACTGAAGCTGGCTTCAGTCTTCCTTCTCTTCAGAAACTGTATGGTTCCAGGACCCTGAGGCAAGCATGTAAGATTATAGCTTAACCCTCCCACCCTGGACACAAACTCTTTCAGATTATGTTCAGCCATCAGGACCAAAACCTCCTGACGCAAATCAGTTCAAACTGGCACCATTTGGCTAAATACATTTTAATAGTAGATAGAAAAGCATTTAAATCCTTCTAACTCAACATAATTTGAACATGAGCTAGCATGTCTACCATGCTAGAAGAGATTTAAAGGAATGGATTGGATTATTTTTTAATCTGGTAAAATCTTACCAAATTTCCTCTCAGCTTTAGGAAACAGATACTAGCTTTGTTCAGAACAGGATGTCTCTGTTATCTTAAAGCAACTCCAAACTGGAAAAAAAAAATCTGTATTGCTTCATGCAAATTCTGTTTCATGCAAATTTTAACTCTGAGAAATGAACATGTTATCCAATGAGAGTAACAGTCTGACGTACAAGGGTTCAATGATGAAGTTTGGCGCTATGACCAAGTACAATAAACAGGTTTTCTTTGACATCAATATTAATAATATTGCATGCGCTAACTATATGTTGGTTTAACAGTAAAATCTTGGTATTAAAACCAAAATTTGATACCCTTCTTTTAGAGTTGTGGCTTTTTGCAGCAACCCTTTGATCTTCTACCATAGTGTTCATCAATGCTTCCTGCCCAACATATAAGCAAGATACACTAAATGCTCAGATTAAATCTCCCCCATAGCACTAGTGTTGAAATAGTAGCACACTTAAGCAAAACTAAACAATAAATGCTGTGTGTATTATACAAGTATCAATATTTTTATGTATGTGTCCATTTCTTTTTTTTTTTTTTTCCTGTCGTGTTCTGCATTATTGCAACAGAACTGGAATCTGAGTGCCATGCTCTGCCCAACACTTTCGCTTTGTCAAGGGAGGCTTGTCAGAATGAACCTGCCCCCCCATCCCACCCCCCTTGATCATCCAATTGCTACTGGATTATTATTTATTCAAGATTTATTATTATTAAAGAACTAGTCATGCCAGACATTACTGGTTAACAGGGGAAGAGAAAGAAAAAAGATATGAAAGAAAGTAAAGAAAAAATTTAAATCAACTGCTGTATCTGTAGAACACAAAATGTCTGCAAACCCAAGGGAAAACCTGTAGAAGCAACTGCAAACAGACACTAGGAAGAGTCACATGCAACCAAAAAAAAAAAAAACATGCATTTCTGAAAACTTTGAGCCTGTGTTTAACATGGAGTATGCAAAGCATGAGGTAATAATTGGACCGTTTAAATGCCTTTGTCTTAGAGTGATCAGTTTGTGCGTTCCTTGTTGCTCTTTATTAATGTAGATTTATTTTAATTTTAACTGCGATAGGCATTGCGTTTTTTTGTTTTTTTTTATTCCAGAATCACTTACTGACTGCTTAATTAGGGTACAACATAAATGTAAACAGTTAATATTTATTTATTTATTTTGTCATTTTGAACAGTATTTTAATAGTGTGACTTTTTTAAGACATTTAGTTGGGTTTAGAATACCTTTTAATAACACAACAATATCATGTAATTGAATACTGATATTTTCAAGCTTCCTGCCTGCTTTTCAACAGTGAGCTGCTGGTGTGCTCCCCTGGAGACACATACCACCAGGATGACTTTGTTCTCTGGAGGAAACCCTGTGTTTATTTGACCGAAATTCCTTATTATCACGTCAATCTGACAAGTTATCAGGCTGATCTTATCATCGAAACTGACAGAGCAACAAAGCTAAAAGTCCTTTAAATGATTTGCTGTATTCAAATGATTCTGTCTATGGTATTCTGAGAAATGCTTCAATATGCAAATACCTTTGGTACAAATCCTTTGGTACAACCTGTTCTCTTGAACAATTACTTCCTTTGTGGTAATTTCGTTGCATATTCTGAGGCCCTTTTCTGTTACAATTTTTCACTTCTGACAGCGTCATATCTGTTTTGGCTATTTCAGAGATTTGAAATATGCACATCTCCATTTCCAGTGTAAAATCTTACTGGTGTAACAGCACTGCCCGGAGGTGAATAATGTACTCATATCATTTTAATACAAGTTCATTGGCAACAATGAAGTTTTAATGTCATAGTCACAATGGTTCATGAAGAGAGAATAATGTACTTACGTATTTGATTAATAAATGGTAACCTGTCAGCTTGTCACAGTTTTCCAGCATCAACTGACAATGAAGCTTCGTTTCTCTTTGTTTTCATACAAAATACAGTAATTAAAAAAAAAATAAGCTGGGTTTAATACATTTAAAGTTGCTTCATAGTTAAACATAAAGAGATTAATGTGTGTAGAAAAAAAAACAGAACAGTTACTTTGTGAATGGTAACTTTATTTTTTATTTCAGCCCTAACATATTGCCTTAAAATCATATACCTCTAAAGAACTTTTGCTTTACACAATTATTTCATTTCTCCTGGTCCTGATTTTGCAGCAGGAAGGTTCTAGGTTTGATTCCTGGCCCGGGGTCTTTCTGCATGGAGTTTGCATGTTCTCCCTGTACTTGCGTGGGTTCTCTTCTGGTATTCCGGCTTCCTCCCACAGTCCAAAAACATCATGGTTAGGTGAATTGGCTGAACTTTATATGACATTTACTACCATGTCTGCATAACCGGGTTATGACTAATGTCTAATGCTGACGCTGATAGTGACATTCTTTCATTCCCAGGCCATCAGCAGCTTGTGGAATGGTACAAAGGCACCATGTCCTGGTTTGCTGCCAAGAAATGGAAATAAAATTTAGATTCTAGACAGGATGTTTACATAAAAGAAAAAATGCATGCATGTCATATATAGGCTACACCTTCACAGTTTTTTTTATTATTTCAACAAATATCTTTTTTCAAATCAGACAAGAATATGAATCATCTTTTTACTGATGTGATCTGAAGCATGTAAGCATCCTTAAAAATTTGGTGTGGGAAGTTAGTTGCTTTATTTTTTGTGGTTTTACTTAAGTCATATTTCTATTCAAAGATCTACAGGTATGTGAATAAATCATATACAATGAGTTAACAACTTAAGATAAATTAAACAGAGACACATTTATCTAAAAGGTGGTCATTTACTTAGAAAGTTGTGGCATAGTATAAATAGACTATATGAGAAACCTCTAGGGAAAATGAGATTTTAAGGGCCAAATTTACATTCTTGACATAAAATTGTAGAAAATCCATTAGGTGGTTAATGTTTTGGAGGCAAATTAAAATGAGTTACCATTCAAAGTAGGCCTGTCCATTGTGACTGCCATCACACAGTGATGCATCGTGACTCTGCAGCTCCACACCAAGGTGGAACTCTGCTTCCCCCTGCAGGTGCCCCAAGAAACGAATAGTTCCTGTGCTTATCCGGCCAGATGGCAGCATGATCCTAACCCGGTGACCCAGCTGCAAGTCCATGGGCGAGTGTGGGACAAAAACTCTATGAGGGCCGTGAGATGATTTCCAGGATCGCACACTTCAGAAAGAAAGAAATAAGTTAGCACTACAGTCAAGATAGAGGGGTTCTTTTTTTATTTACTTCCTTTTTTTTTCTAAGTTATAGTTTGATTAATTCATGATTTCCTCTTTTTTTTTTCTTTAAGAAAGACAGGGCTTAGAAAATGCTACTGCATTAACTGTAATAAAATTTTTGGAAACTTTGTTAAGGGAAATAGTTTTTCTATGTTGTATCCACAATTTGTTTGCCGGAAAAAAACAGCAGTTGCTTTTGTTGTCTTAGGACAAAATCTAAAAGGCACATGTTAAATTTAAGTTCTAAAACTTAAAACAATCCCTTAGACAATATGTAAATTCTATTGTTTTATTACAGCAAGTAAAGTAACATCTTCCTAGAATCAGATTGGATATATTTGTATTCTTCATGACAAAGATTCAACAAGGGGTCATAAACATTTATCTGATATTTTGATCTAGATGCTAGAATTGCTGCCCATTTGTCAGCTAGACATCAAGGTTCCCTAACTCCCTTTCCACCTCATCCCAAACGTGTTCTGTTGGGCTGAGGTCTGCTGAGTGTTGATCTCAATAGAATCCTGTGTATTATTTTCATGTGAAAAAAATTGTGATAGATTATTTGAGCATTTTATAAAGATGATAAGGAATTAAATGGGTATGGTGTGGTGAAAAGGAATGTACATCCTTTAAAACAATATTAAGACCTAATGAGGTGTTTCAACGATTCTCAGCTAGTATTAGTTGAAAATGAATCAAGTAAAAAAAAAGTTTTTAATTAACAAACTTTGGTGAAATTGCTACCATGTGATTGTGAGAGTCCCTTTTTTTCTGCTTCCAGGCAATTTAAGAAGTGTACCTAAGGTCCATTTTTGACAAGGGCATAACCTTTTAAAGGTTTAGAGAAAATATACATGGTTAACTGGTGTTAATTGAACTAAAATCATTCATAAATAGAATAAGTCCTGATAACATTAGTTTACTTTAAAAATATAAACCAAAATGGATGTGATGTAGATGAATTCAAACATGCCAACATAAGTTGTTAAAGTTCATGGATTTCTGTTTTTACCACAAACATCTTAGAAGGTTGGTGGTAACTACGCATGAGTCCAAGTTCCATTCTCATTTATTGGCAAGTGCAAATACTTTATCAGCACAGTTACTGGTATATTTTAAATGCATGGCAGCCATATTGGATTTTTGGCTCTAGGTTGTAGACAAAAAATGTCCATGAGCCATTTCCACAAACCTGCTCAAGGCAGGATTAGGAAAACATTTTGCCTTTTCTCTGTTTTATGAAAGGACTGATGGGAGAAAGCTTCTCTATGGCGAATCCCTGAATCACCAAGTGAAGTAGACACAGGCCCACATCTATGACTTGTTTGAGGGCAAGCCAGCTTTGCAGGAGAGTGTTTTGCAGGGATTATGTGTGGCTTGGCCAACCAGCAAGCACCAAAATTGCATAAGTAAAAAGAAGACTTAGAAATAATTTCCAACAAGAAAGCTGAGAAGGTAAGATATCGATTTTAAATGTGAAGCATCTGCTTGGCCAAAAGCAGGGTTGCTTCACCGTGTGAATATTACTTATGCAGATTTGGTTATTGCTGCATACTGCCTTAGGGAGCTCAGAGGCTGCTCGTCAGATTTTATAATGGGAATGTTTTGTGAAAGAACCTTGTCTTTTCCAGTCATAACTGTCTCTGCAGTGGATCTTTCTGTCTATTAACCCAACTTCAAACTTGGTTATTAGCACAAAATAAAAATGTAAAGCACAATTTAATCATATCCTTTAGCAAAATATGCTGTTTAAATGGATAAGAGCCTAAGGTATTTCCCCAGGGAAAAAATACACACACAAAAATAAAGAAAAACAATCAACTGGAAAAAATAAGTAGGCCTATATATTATATATGGTTTTTTTTTTGGTTGTTTTAACATGCCTTTCAATAGCTACATTCAACCATTTCTGATATTTAGTACTTGTATCATATTGCCGCCATTTGGGCAAAGTGAGATGGTGCAATTTGAATTGGAGCAAATGCAACCTTGGGGTTTTGGGACAATAAAAAGATAAAATTTGCCAATAGATGTATTTACCTACCTTAAATTGCTTGGATATTATGTGGGAAAATATAAATAATTCAAAGATGTCTTTTCTCGTTGGTGGTTGAATAACCCAGTAGTAAAGTTAAAAAAATTTCACAGCTTTCTTCCTCCATTGCATCTACAGTAATAGGTAAACAGTCACAGTTGGGGTTCTAAACTTTTATATTCACAGATGTATAAAAATAGTTCTAGATTTAAAAAAGCCTTTCCTATAATTTATTCATTACTTTTATTACAGTTGTTTTATTAATTAAATCACAAGGCTCTTTCAAAAGTGTTCCCATAATTAACTTTAAGACAATTTACAGTAATCAATGTCAGTTCCCGACAGGTTTATTTGGTGGACGGCTTTTTCTTTTTATGTTCAGGTAAAATTAGTTATTTTGGAAACAGGTGTTGATTCATTTGTTTTTTGTTAAAATTGTCTGAAATTGTCTTACTAAATTCCCTTTCATTCATTCAAACTGATAAGGGGGGCATGGATAAATGAATGAATGAATGAATGAATGAATGAATGAATGAATGAATGAATGAATGGATTTTCATTTATACCTTTACACAGAAAAGCGTGAATGAATGAATAACAGCCTTGTTAAAGAAACAAACCATGAGGATTATTTTCCTCATTAGTAAAAAAAAAATGTGATTTATGAAGTGGCTTCACTGTATTAACAATAATAATAATAATAATAACAATAATTTTACATAACCATTATATATTCCCAGATCTGAATTGTAGGTCTTCTTGCTGAAACAGTTTATTCATCCTTTCCTCATAAATTTTTTTCTGGCATTCAATGTACTGATGTTTGGCAGTACTTAAGAGATTTTCTTACACTAAAACTTGCAAAACATATCTGTTCTTTTTTTTTATTTTATGTTTACATGCATTTTTAGGCAGGGAAAAGAATCAATGGGGGAACCTGAAAATGCTCGTATTTTACTTCTTTATTCATTATATAAACTTCTTATAAATTTAAGTAATGCTATTCTAAATAGAGGAAAATAAATTAAATTAACTTAATATTTGCAACACATGCAGTTTGATTACCAAGGTTTTTTTTTTACTTACATGCTGACCTACCCATTTAATGACTGTACCTTGAGGCTGAAGATAAAGAGGAAGTAGATCTTGAGCTCAGTGCAGTTGATAAGGATTCCTGGCTCCCTGACGAACTGCATAAGTGGCTTTCGCTTCTTGATGACACTTTGGATCTTTTACGTTGAGAAAAACCACCTGTTCATCAGATACAGCTGTGGATATCTTTGCCAAATCATAATCTTCTCAGTTGTACAATACCTTTCAAAATTATTCTCCCCCCTTCAACTTTTTGACCTTGAGGAACATTACAAGCTTCAAACATAAAGATATAAAATTTAATTTTTTTTGTTAAGAATCAAAAAGTGGGATACAGTCATGAAGTCGAACAAAATTTATTGGATATTTTAAACTTTAACAAATAAAAAAATTGAAAAAATTGAAAAATTGAGTGATCTATATTATTCAGCTCCCTTGAGTTAATACTTTGTAGCGCCACCTTTTTGCACAAAATACAGCTGCAAGTCACATTTCAGTCTCACATTGAGAGACTGAAATGTTTGCCCATTCTTCCAGAAAAACAGCTTAAGCTCAGTGAGGTTGGATGGAGAAGGCTTAAGAACAGCAATTTTCAGTTCTTTCCCCACATTCTCTTTTGGATTCAGGTCTGAAAAATGACTTGACCATTCTAACATTAGTGCTGATCCATTCCATTGTAGATTTTGCTTCATGCTTTGGATCATTGTCTTGTTGGAAGATAAATCTTCCTCCAAGCCTCAGGTCTTTCAGACTTAAAAAGGTTTTCTTCCACAATGGTTCTGTATTTGTCCCCATCCGTCTTCCCATTAATTTCAACAGTCTTCCTTGTCTTTGCTGAAGAAAAGTAGGCCCAAACCAGGATGCTGCCACCCCCATGTTTGACAGTTGGGATGATGTGTTCATTGTGATGAGCTGTGATGCTTTTATGCCAAAAATAACATTTTGCATTGTTGCCAAAATGTTTGATTTTGGTTACTTACTACCAGACCACCATCTTCCACATGTTTGTGTCTCCCAGGTGGCTAGTGGCTAACTTTAAACAAGATTTTGGGGGACATCATTAAGAAATGGCTTCCTTCCATAAATGCCTGATTTATGCAGTAAAAAACTGGTTGTTGTCCTATGGGCAGAGTCTCCTACTTCAGCTGTAGATCTCTTCAGTTCATCCAGAGTGATCATGGGTCTCTTGGCTGCATCTCTGATCAGTCTTCTTTGATCTGAAGCTTCAGTATTATTGCTTCCACAGGGATGTTTAAAGCTTGGGAAATATTTTTGTACCCAAATCCAGCTTTAAACTCCTCCACAATTGTATCTCAGGCCTGCCTGGTGTGTTCCTTGTTCTTCATGATGCTCTCTGCTCTTTAAACAGACCTAAGAGACTATCACAGAGCAGCTGCATTTGTACAGCGACTTGATTACAGATAGATTCTATTTATCATCATCAACTCATTTAGGTCAACATTTGATCATTAAGTGATCCTCAGTGAGTCTGGACAGAGTTTGCTCTGCTGCACTGAAAGTAAAAGGGCCCAACAACTTTGCATGCCACCCTCTTTATTTTTTATTGTTAAAAAAGTTTCAAATATATGATAGTGTACCATCTGTTCTTGATTCTTCACATAAAACTTTAATTTTATGTTTGAAGCCTGAAATGTGGCAAAAGGTCAAAACGTTCAAGGGGACCGAATGTTTTCGCAAGGCTCTGTATATATGATTGCTCTGATTTACTTGACTGCTCATCCAGATTGTCCCCGTAGTCTCTCTGCTCCTCATAAGTTCCCACCTTTAGCAGTATATCAGCCTCAGAGAAAACCTGGGTGAAACAAGGTTAATCTGAGTCATCGCCACACACTCAACAGGAACAGCAAACATTCTAGCTAGCGCACCTGATTACGCAGCTCTTCATGTTGTCTTTGCAGCTCTGAAAATCTCTTCTCCCAGGACGCTCTCTCACAGGCGATCTTGGTTTTAATCGAAAGGATATCTCTCTCAGTTTTGGTCACTCGTTTGTGGAGCGCGTTAACGCGGTCCGGGCTCCCTGGGATGGCAGCTGTCACTTTGCTTCCACAGGCTGTTACATGACATTAAATAATATCACATAGTAGTTCTATTTGCCTGAAATACATATGAGTTTTACAGATTAAAGGTGATTTTTTTTTAGCAAAATAAAAACTTTAAAGTTTATTTTTAAAGTTTATTTTAGAACCCCATTTGGGTTTTAAACCTTGTTTAGCATTTTAAAATATATAACATTAACATTTGTACTTCTAAGTTAGTCAAAAGTGTTTGGTTTCTATTCTTACCGACATGTCTTGTCACCTGTCTGCTTTTCTCCTCTGTGATGCACTTTTGTCTTGGTAGGAATTTGATTGCATTGTAAGGACATATCTGCATAATAAATGAATACCACTCATTACACAGGAGTCCTAACAAGCTATACTCAAGTGAATTAAAAAACATGAACATCAGACTCACCCACAGAAACCTGCAGGTGCAGAGGATCCCCTTGTATGTCCATGTAAATAATGTCTGTAGGATGTATGCTGTCATTGTTTAACATGGTCCTCTCAAGTCATGCTATTCTAATAAAACAAGGAACAAAACAACTATTTGTACTTGTTGTTTATACCACAACGATAACTAGAAACTGTTGATTTTATGATACTCACAAATTTACATTTTCTAAATGTGTGTAATACTGACCTTTTCCAGAGTCTTCTCTGTAATTTAGAAAACAGTCCAGAGTGAATTAACAGGTAAATACCCCCTTTTTTGATCAGTTCTGTTGAATGTTAATGTGATCCATAAGGCTCGCTAACCTGTTGCTATGCACCCGGTTTGCGTGAGCAGCACTTGACGACTGCTGGGTAGGTAAATCTTGCCTAATCTTCTTAGCAATTATACAGTCCGGTTGCAGCCTGGCTTCTTAATTTGGTCTGCTGAGCCTTGTGTATATAAACAATGAAAAGAAACCATGCAGTGCAACTAGAGTCTGTGTCCATCTGCTTTGTCTGGTCTTGGAAATATAGAGCATCGAGCTGTAGATGCAAAACTTGTTTTGTTTCTTTTTTTACAGCCTGAAAATGTTAATGATCTAATACAGTATAAATAATGACACTGCATTGATTACAAGTTGATCTGTCCAGAATGTCATATCGTGAAAAATTCATGTTTATTTAGCGTGATTTAAATGAGATTTTTTATAAACATTTACAATACATATATATTTCCATAGCTTAAAAAAAAAACTAGAAAAACTACATGTTTGAAAATGATTGAAAAGAAGTTTGCAATTTTCTATACTCCCACCTCTTTACACATTCAGTCAATTTTTGTTGTAAAGCAATACAGATAACCCATATATATAAATGTATTGAAATATGAACTAACACGGATATACATATTCACTGTTACATATCAGCATATATATTTTCATGATATCACTATTAAGAAGAATATTTTTATAAATTTTTTTTATATATTCATTGTTCCAAAAAGTCAATCCACAGCTTGATACACAACGGCTTGCACATGCTGCTGTAAGCCTATCAGCCCTGCGCATGCCTTCGCCATGACCAATCATCATCTAAGACTCTGCTTTAAATGACTGTGTTCAGCCAGCAGTTTTCTGCTCTATCGAGCTGCAACCCTCCTCCACCATTTTCACTATTTTCATCTGGCTCCCCTTCTCCTGCAGCCTCCGTTCCACTACCATTGTCAGTCCCCTGGTGGGATATCTAATATCCTAATTCAGCTGCTTTATCATAACATGTTAATTATGTAATCTTATGTCTTCCACTGAGGCCTGAGTGAAAAAGCTAATATTTCTCATTTTAATAAAACTCTCTAATTGTTGCTTGTGTTCTGTGTGAGTCTTCCCAGGTTGAATTGGTAGTAGGTCGTGTTAGGCCAGTAGATTATCTGTCATTTTCTTTCTAACCCAATCCTGAAGTTTGTTTAACGGTAAAGAAATTATTAGTAATTTTCAATCCATCTAATAACTCATACTTCCAGAAATTTTGTTTGTGTATTTTTGATTATTAGTTTGACATTAGGTTCTGTTTTATGCCTTTCAAAACGTATGATCTTTGTTTTTCTGATAGTTTATTTCTATCAAACCATAGATTTTTTTTTTCTCATCTTTATTTTAATGAGTTCCTACATTTTATAGAAAATTATCTGAAAGCAAAAAACATTGGTGTCAACAAACAAGAAAAATGTGGTTTTGATACTTTATAGATATTATTGATGTAAATAATTTATTATAAATGATTTCATCCCTAATATTGAACTTGGTGATCCACAATGATTTGTATCTATTTGTTTCCCCGAGCTGTTTTTGTTCATGAAGTACCAATTAAGCCAGCTCAACCCAAGCACTCTTCCATCATATTTTTCAACTTTTACCAAAAATTATTTGTATCAAAAAGGAAAAAATGACTTTTTAATAAGAAGAACACAAAAAGTGCTATTCTATTATTATCTATGCCATCTGTAATTTCTTCTGTTGGTGCAAGAGAAGTTGCGCTGTTTGAGCTGAATCCATATTGACTCCGGGTAACTAAATAATGTATTTCAATAAATTTGTCAAACTGTCAGTTAATACTTCTTCCAGTATTTTTGCATAATGAGAAAAAAAAAGAAATTGACCTGTTATCTGTAAAACAGTCTGCAGTTTCAAAAAGTACAACCATATAGTAAATTTCTATTTTGTATTGATTGATTGATTGATTGATTGAATGATAGACTGATAGAATGGTTGATTGATTGATTGATTGATTGATTGATTGATTGATTGATTGATTGATTGATTGATTGATTGATTGATTGATTGATTGACTTTATTTTTCTTACAGTGGAGAAATTTACTTGATACATCAGCTCACATAGTCAAAGCAGAAGAATGTCAAAGAAAAGGAATGTGCCAAAGGAAGAAAAGGTGCATGGGATATATACAGTATACAGTGCGTCCACATATGACAGCTTTTTTTTTTTTTTTCTTTTTTTGAGGAGCTGCACATTTGCCTCAGTATGAGGTATGCTCCTGATCAAAAGGACTGATAGCTAATGTGGTTTTATGGTTTTTCCATTTCTTTAAATACCCTTTTGACAGTAGCACGATCAGAATTCATTTTACTTGGCTTTGTTGTTGCTGAACATATAATTTCTTAAACTATTGGTTAAAAAAATACAGAAAAAACAAAACAGCTGTGTTTAATACTCAATAACTAAAAAAAAGGAGGGTGTAGATCAGAGAGGGTATTTCAATTTTCTTTGTTAGTAATTTCTATATGGGGATATAATAACGTTTTTCATTTCTGTTTTGTTTAGTTACCAAGCGTCACGTATATAACTAGTATAGTTTGTCAAGATATTATTATAATATGTTTAAGTTTTGTATCTACTTTCAATTTCAGAATCACAGATTCTCTGTGCAATAACCTCTTCCTCTATATTTGACACCCAGTGCAATACATATAAATATACATATAAATATCCATCTATATAAATACCTATGTAAACACTAGTTAATCTAAGAAGCTAAATTATTACATGCTAACATTTTTACATGTCTGTACATTTGCCTCAAATTTGAAAATTTAAGGTGACAACATTAGAACAGAATTTAAAACTATTTTTTTTTTTTGGGGGGGGGGGGTGCACTTGTTTCAATAAAACATAATCAGAGTGTACTGTACTCATATATCTAACAAATTCTAGGCACTCTCAACAAACTCAATACCTTTGCTGTTTTGTTTTATATATTTTTCTGAATAATATCTTGTTTTATTTCTTTTTTTTTTTTTTTTTAGAAAAGTCCTTAAATGACCTTTCCACAATATTTAAATGATTTAAGTCACCTTTGGTACACAACCAAGTAAGCTCAGGAATAGCTTAATTCTAATTTAGCCTTTTTGACCAGTGATCCTTATAACATACGGTATATTTGTTTACATTTCTTCAATTTACTGTGGAAACTTTGGTTGGGTCATTGATGAATGTCTGTTTATGTTTGAATCAATGTGTCACAGGGCTCATTCTTTGCAAATATAAAAGATGACCTTTTTTCCTGTCTTTAGACAACAAAGGTTCCCTTTGGTTTCAGACCAAAAGCCCTGCATTCAGTGTAATGTGAGCCTAATGGCTACGTATGCATGGTTAAATACTGAGCATGAATAGGTGTAGGATTTATGAAATTTAAGCTTTCATTGATGGACAAAGAAAAGCACTCACCTTATGCATGCAAAAGCGTGCTGTCCTCATGTATGCATACAATCAAGCACAAATTATGACCAAACAAGCAAACACCAACACCTGTTCATGGCTTTGCAAAATGACAATATGGGCAAAGCTTATCACAGGTACTGTGGCTGTGAGTTTGACTGCATAGCTTCTGGCAATCACATGATGATGTGATATAATTACTGGTAGTATGTTCAGAGAAATTCCTTATAGCTCTTCACGATTACTTTATATGTGCATAATTCTTGATAATTTTTCATGATGATTGATTTTAAAGAAAGACGGTGTGTACAACAATAATAAGAATAGCTCAGGAACTGCCTTGGAGCGATACACAAAAATATCATGTGCGTTTGGCATGAAAGGAAGTTAATCACTGTAGCGTTGATAACAGTAAAACCAAACGTATTTGAGGTGAATTTCACTGTTGAATTTACAAGTAAAGAGTCTAAAGTTAAAAACATCTTTATTAAGTAGTTGATCTCGCACAATAAAACCATTCCTCTTGTGTTTGTCATAGACTGCAGGAAACATAGAAGAACTATAGGAGTTTAGAAATCTGGCAGCTTTGCAAAGGGTTTAGACCTCTGGATTTAGTGAAGGTAATTCTCTCGAGTTCTATCACATCTTACATATTGGGGAAGCAAGTGTTAAATTGTACATCTGTGTAGGTTCCCAGTCATCAAGGTCATGGTCAAGCTTGAAAAAGTTCAGTCTAGTGAACTGGAAGTTAAGTTTTCTAGAAGATGTTTTGCCTCTATATTATATTAATTTCTACAGTATATTAATCTCAGTGCTCCCCACCACTAGTTAGAGCTAAAGGAACCTCCTGGATGAGAAAATATCTTCTAGAAAACTTCACATCCAGTTACCTAAACTGAACTAAAGTGGCATGGTTGTTCGGCTGTCAGAAGGCCTAGTGTTTCAGTTGGTATTTAAAAAAGGTTGAATCTACTGAAATTTGAAAACACATTTTTCCCCATTGTGAAATTATAATCTCTGAGAAGGTTAATTCAAAGGGTCACAGTAATGTGGGGGGAAAAAGGTATTTTTGATGTCAGAGGTCATGATCTTTGACATCTGCAGAGAAGGAGAGATGATGGCTTGATTAGCTTCAATAATTACTAGTTAAAATACCATCTCTAAGCACACATGCAACCTTTAATCAGATGAACAAAAGCAACATGTCACAGCAGGTGTTCCTGCCTTCAGCAAAAAACAAGACGGTGAGATGACAGCTGCTACTAGCTTCCATTAAATCAGACAAAAGCAGATTGGAAAAACGGTGACTGGTTCAGATGGGGGTTTAAACTCCAACATTCAGATGTTTGATTTAGGAATAGAATGAAACAACAGATCCATGCTAACATTTGTTCCAGAACATGACCATCCCTTCATAACCGCAGTGAGCACATCCTCTAATGCAGTGTTTCCAAACCATTTTTGACTTGTGTACATTGATGATTGTCCTAACATGAAACATGAAACATACAATAACTGATTATAAAAGAAAAACTGTTTAACTCAAACTTTCCATCTAAAATAAAAAAAAAACAGAAATATGTTCCCTGGAAGTTATTTGGAATTGAAATGAATACAAAATTAAATCATGTTTTAAGCCTGTATTTATAAAATTGGAGCTCCTCAGTTACTCCCTTAAAATCACAAGGTGAACAAATCAAGGTGAACTCAAACTTATAGGAAAACTTACTTTTTGGTTCATAAAAGCTTGTTTAATTTTTCAATTGGGTCCTTGGAAAGCAAAACAGATCATAGCCCTATTCTATTTTACTACCTAAAAAGTTAAATATTTTCATGTACCCCCAGCAAAGCACTTGCGTACCTTTAGGGGTATGCATACCACCATTTCAGAATCACTGCTCTAGTACCCCTAACCAGTAAGAGAGTGCATAAGTTACCAGATCATAACCCAACAGAACAACTTTGTGAAGTTATAGAAATGAGAGATTTGACAAAACTTTTTAGGATGACATGTACAAGTCTATAAACCAGATCTTTTAGGACAGGCATCCCCAAACTCGGTCCTCTAGGCCCGCTGTCCTGCAGGTTTTAGAGGTTTCCCTGCTTTAGCACAGCCGATTATAATGATTGCAATTGAGCAAAAGCTTTCAATTAAAATCAGCTGTGCTGGAGCAAGGAAACCTCTAAAACCTGCAGGACAGCGGCCCTCGAGGACCGAGTTTGGGGATGCCTGTTTTAGGAGGTAATCCCAAAGGATGTAACAGTCGCATCACTCTGTATCTTTCCAGGTGGATGACAAGGACAGGCCAATTAACGTCTTTTAAATGCTCTTCTTACAGCAGTCCTGAAATGTACAGCAGTCCTGAAATGCATTACAATTAAATGGCAGCAATGAGAGTTGCCTTCTTACACCTCATGGGTCCAAATAATAAATGAATTACACCAAATTGAAAAGATAGCATGCTTATTAAGACTTCAAAAATCCTCTTTTAGCCAACCCTGGGACCCAGTGGAAGATCTACTCAGCTAAACAAATTCTTCATCTTAGGCTTTTGGATTATGATAGTTATACCTCCCAACCAAGGAGGCCTCTTGTGTTGGTTTATGTGGTGATGTGTCCCATGTTTAACATCTCAATGTCCCATTGAGATGTTAAAAATAAGGTATAATCTCACATTGTTAAAACTGATAGTTATTGCTGTTGTATAGTTGTATAATTGCTTTGATTCAAAAATCAATAAATATGTAAGATCTGGAAAAAAGAAAGGAGAGATTTATATCATGTGTGCAGCACACATATCTGCTGCAGTTGTAATCATATTAATATGGAGCAAAATTGTAGGCTAGAGCTGTTAAAGTATTGCTTAAACACAAACAATGAATGCAGTTCTAAAGAGTAAAAGGTGCAAGCAAAAAAACTATGTACAAAACATTGTGAACTGAAAAAAAAATGCAAACGTTTTTGGCATTTGCTTAATTATATTTAGTTACTTTAACACAACTGGTTCATGTCAGCAGGGTAAGACATAAGTAAGTAAATATGATTAAATGAATGCCAAAAGCGGTTGCTTTATTTTCTTCAGTGTGTATACTGTTAAAGTGTTTATGTCAAACTTTAAAACAGATCCCTGCCACACCCAACTGTTGTTCAGAGTTTTTCCAGCTTTATTACAACTGATAATAAGTGGCCTACTGTAAAAAAGGTTTTATTTTTCCTGGCCTTTTTTGTACCTTACAAGCATAATAAACAAGTTATTTTGGAGGTCTTTGTTAGTCCAACACTTCTGAGCAAGTTAACACAATGCTCCCTGGTTTCCTTTATTGTAAACAGCTCTGTATTAATGCAGGAACTAAAACTCTTAAGAGGCAATTTGAATGTTTTGTGGGTAACATAAACAGCTGCTTTTCTCTAACATTTCCAGGAAGCTTGTAAAAAAAAACCTGGATAAGCATAATCAGAGATAATTAAATGTTAATACTTCCCTGTTCTCTAGATAAAGAAGAGAATAAAAAAACTTCTCAAGCAGAGTCTTTGTTAATTTAGTTAAGAAGTGCTGCTTTGTTTCAATTTAACTCTTTAGATAAATGCAGCTTCTAATGATCCAACTGCATTGTTAAAAATATTTTGAAGAAATGCCTGACTAAAGAGGATTTTTGTAATGTTATTTTGTGCACCTAGTTCATAATTTACTACAAAAATGTTTTATAGCCTGAAATGTTTGTATAGAAAATAGCCTAACTGGCATTCATGTGATGCTTCTATTATATCATAGCACATAAAGTTTAATAAATGCTATTTAGGTTTATTTTAATTGGAGTTTCACAAGTAAACCAGTGCACAAATGATCCCATAATTCCACTTTTTAAGAGAGGGAAAATCCTACACTGTCAAAAATCAGACAATCATTAAGTTTTTGCTGTTATAAAACAAGTTTGGCCATATAAATGTTGCTTTATTACTATTTTTAGACTGTTACGTTAGCACCTTCTTGGCTGAAATTAGACCTGTATGGGTTCAAGATATATCACAAATTAAAAAAACATTTTCTCTCAGTTCTAGATTTTCAAATTCAATTAAATATTTTTGTATGATCATTAAAATTTGCAAAACTCCTGTTAAAAGAACTCCTGAAACCCTCAAATTGATTTTACACTTCTTACAAGGACTGCATATTTTTTATATGTGTGTTACAGAAGCCTAAAAATAAAACTATGATTAGAATTCAGACCAAGTTCCAAAATTAAATTAAAATTTCTGGAATAATTCGTCAACCCTTTGCTCTTTTTATGGAATAACTTCTCTATCGTGTATCGCAAAGTTTTGATGAAAGGAGGAAGCACTTCTGTCATCTGAACCAGACAAGTTCTTCTAGTGTTGTGCCCAAGAATTCTATGTTCTTTAGGCCACAAAGAGGTATTTGTTGTGAACAGGGGCTTTATGGTTCACAGGGAGAGAGGGGTCTAATTTCACATTGTGTTCGACAGAAACCAGTAGACTCCCTATACAATCACGCCGCAGGGCTCTGAAATCTCACCTGAACTCTCATGGACTTGCAAAGACCTAATCCACTGAGTTATTTTTGTAAAACTTTAATTGCTAGCTACAGGGCGTCAGAGTACGGTAATCATAGCAACCTAACACTGTAAACGACTGTTATGCTATCGTCTTTTATGATGCCTTTTCTTGAAAAAGTAGTTGGAAGTTTTGATGAGAGATAGAGAGCAATTCCTGCTTTGTAAAGGATTTACTTTTTGCATCCGCTCTAAAGAAGTGTTTAAATGAGGCATTTAAAGTCAGCTCTAATATTAACCAGATTAGGGTCATAATCTGAACTATAGTTAAAAGAAAATTATCTATATTTTTGAGTACTTTGGAAATCCCCCCCCTACCAGCGCTCATTGCAGCATCATCTTAAGACCCTCCCAGCAACAGCAGCAGGCCTCCAGTCCCCTCCTCTGACATGGTGCAGGTGAGAGTTTCCACTTGTTACGCTATTCAAATGGGCGGAGGAGGAGGTAACAGAGAGAAACAGGGCACTCCAGAGAGAGAAAGCTCATTTTGTTCGACTTACGTTGAGATAAAAGCATGATTTTTAAACCACAGGTAAGTGGATTTTATTCATTGTTGTCTATAGAATGTTAAAGTATATTTTGTTCTAGTTAAATAATGATGGTTAGGCCAAAAGAAAACAATAAAGTGAATTTCGAGAAAGTGGCGAGATCATGTAACAGGAAAAAGGATGATTTGGCAAGCATCTGTTATTTATCTATATTTTTGTAAACGGGTCAGAAATAACATGATTAATATATTTAAATACCTTTGTACCAATCATGTTTCTTTACCTGTGAAATATCTTATACAAGCTTCTGCTGCACAGATGTGTGAGATGTGTTTAAAACTAGCTTTCAAAACTAGCTGATGTCAATGATGAGATTTCCAAAGTTATAAAATGTAAAAAGGTTCAAGTGTCAGAGTTGGGTCTTGTTCATTTTGCTCTGAGTTAAGCAACTGTAGACTCACTGATGTTGTTTCTTTCACCACAATAAAATTTGACTTTCTTGTATAATTTTCTCAGCAAATGTTACATCAACATTTTAGAGATATATTAACTTCTTACTTTCTTTTTTAAATTTAATTAAGTGTGCCAAGAATTTTAAATATATTATCAATTTTTGTTGTAAAATGACGAGTTTCACAACAGTTTAAGACATTTAAACTTGAACTTCCTTTCAAACACAATGTTTTGGGATTCCTTGTTGAGGTGGAAGCTGAAGTGACCAATGTTGTCATCGGTTTCCAGGGTGTAGCACCCACAGGAGCTCAAGCTGGGATCCAGGGGAGAAAGGAACAAAACAAGCCATATAGAAGCAGTCCTATAGGGATTGATCAAGGAACAAACACATTTTAATTGCGCTCAATGATAAACCAAACCAAACTGAGACACTTAAGGTATAATTGCATGACCCAATGCTGCACTAATTTTTGCAGAAGTTTCTTAATGGAGAGGGCAGACGTGCAGTTAACAACATAGAAGACGTACAATGGTCTGAACATGTATTGTTTTCAGATTTTTTTTAAAAGATCATCATCAATATGCTTCATTTTAACCCTAATCTTATAAAATATTAGTGAGGTGAATTATTTAAAGATCATGTTTAGAAATGTATTATGCTAACAATTATGAGATTGTTTACTTCAGAATAAAAAGAGGATTGTTAACAGAGACGATTGCACATCAAAAGAACAGACCAGGTGGCTTACAATGAATGAGAAGGGCTGTTATTCAGAAAGATTTACAGAAAGATCGGTAAACAGTCTGGATTGAAGCCACACTCTCACCTGTCACACAAACCTTTTGTCATCACCTTATTGCGCTGATTATTGTTTAGATAATTCCACTGACAGACATTCTCATTTGTCATGTGACTTTCGTTGACATTTTAACAGCAATAACTAATGACTGGTTTCACTATAGAAGTTCAATATGATATATATATATATATAAATGTTTTATAGGTTGGGCCCAGAGCTGTCTCTGCTTCATCCAGTCGCATTATGTCTCCAGTCTGTTTTATGAAGGACACAGGTATGAGTCTATTCCTGTTTATGTGAGACCTCCGGTAAATATGCTCCATTCTTCCGTCTAAAATCACTCATTCATGTCCAATGCATTTGTTTGTAAATTCAATCCATAGGTTTTCTGAATACTTAAAAAGTACAGAAAGGTATTCCTATTGCCTTCTCCTAAAAAGGGAGAGAAAGTCTAAGAAATTTAAATAAATTCCTTAAAGAATCAGAGAGGGGGAAGTAAGTAAATTGGTTGATTTAATTATGGGTAAAAGAAAAAGTGAGATGACACGGGTAAATAAATATTGTACCATAGCCTGAAAAATATCTCACATCATGATGCCCCTAACTCCCTACTGTACGGATGATGTGACATTTTTAAAGTACCATGCAGCTCCACTTCTCCTTAAAACATTTCATTTGACCATGTTACATTCACCTATCATCTCCTTAGTTATTCTACATGTCAGCAGCTGCTTAAATATTAAACTCTGATGAAGAGGAGGGCTATTATTACACCTAAAGCCTTTTTAGAAGTGCATGAAAGCTTTTTATTAGCATTTGATAAAGTCAATGGTAATCACTTTGTCAAGAATTGTAAAACAATTTATCTTTACCTTAATAGGTGTGCTCAGACCCTATAGAAGGCTTACTTCAACGGTGGGGAGGCAACTAGTACACCTTTGGATCGTAAAAGCTTTGCAAAAAGTTTAATATAAAATTCTATTAAACCTTGGGTATCCATTGTTCTAGGAAACATGCTATTTTTTTTTTACATAAAAACTACTGGCTGAGCTAGTTTCAATCTTCTTTTGACCCTAACACACATTCCCAACTTTGGTTTTCTCTTCCACAACGTTTTTTTTTTTTGTTTTTTTGTGCAGGTATTTTATGCCTGTTCCTATCAGGACTCCTGCTGCTTCCAGCATTTGTGTCTGGGGTCACAACAGAAATGAGCACCACTTCTTCTGCCACTGATTCAGTGTCAGAAGCCTCTATCACCACTATGCTCCAAGTTTCAACCATGGAACAAACCACAACCGAAGCAAATCCCCAAATCTCTTCTTCCACTGTGTCCAAAACAGCAAAAGACACCTCCACCCAGTCCAGTACTATGGTTTCTGGCAGTTCAACAGTCAACCCTACCCAGAGCATCATGTCCACCACTTATGGAGGTACCGCAACATCCACTGCAGCCCCGTCTCCCACAACTACCTTAAGCTCTAAAGGCCAAACATCAGTCAGCACTCTCTCTGCTTCACCCACCTTGGCTTCATCCAGCACCCACTCTGCCTCACCCACCTTGGCTCCATCCAGCACCCACTCTGCCTCACCCACCTCCGGAGGCTCCTCACCATTCAGCACCCACTCCCCTCCAACCACCTCCGGAGGCTCAGCATTGCACAGCACCCTCTCTGTCTCAAGCACCTTACAAGGCACAGTATCCACCTGCTCCCAAATGCAGAGGTTTTGTAGGCTAAGCTAAATGCAGGTAGACAAGCAGGGCACCAACCTTCCTCATCTTATAAGTAAACTCCTATTAAGTTCATTAGCCCACTTTCTTTTTAACAGTAAACAATTTCCAAGTAGAAC